GAAAAAAACATATAAAACTCATAATACCTACGGTATCTACCTAAATCTATCTAAACATAGTCTCCTATCCTATCTTGCCATGCTGTAATGATAAACACCATTTTATTACAGGATGGCAAGTCGAATTCAATGAATAATTTCACTAGGAACCTATAAATTAAAGAAGGTAGTAACTAGATATTTAAAGGTAGGTAACCTTTAAATCAGTCTGGTTAACTAATGAAACTGACCTAAATTCGATGGAGCACGCTGCAAGTTAGCTATTTGCGAGTAAATTATGGTAATCAGATTGGCTTGGTAAATCGCTAATATACGTTCGGGAAACTTAAATAGCAATAAGCATAAATCCCTATTAATAAAATATATAGATAAAACGCATAAGTAAAGACTGTTATAATGATAAATATCTACTGTTATTATAGTTTAAAACTTTTATTGTAGCAGAAGATACAAGACATTGTACAACACGCTGTGTAGTGTTGCCACTACATTTTATATAATACTATGTAATATTATATTATCGATCTTTCGGTTCACGGATTTTTGTTTTTATTTTGGTACCTATTATTGAAAAGCGCTGAGCGCTTGTATTTGCCACAGATAAATTTTGTACAAGTCGTTTGTATCTCTCTTAGTCCTTTCAGCTATGATTTGGTTAGGGGTGAGATTCGGCAGTTAATAACAGGATGTGGAACCAAATTTACTATGATCATATAATGACGTCATGTGCATGGCGCTATCCAGGTATAAACCCGACGTTGGGAGTTATCACCAGGTGGATCGTTAGCTTGATTATTTTAAAAAAATACATACCTATGCGATAGCCTCCTCCTCCTTCTCTCGGTTTGTTCTCTTCAGTCGTTTCGTAAGGCATCTTTAGGAATGAAAAGGATTTGTCTATAATATACATTGTTCATAATCCCATCTTTTCATAGCCACAAAGTTGTAAATGGTGATGCCGATTAGATTAATGTAATTGTAACTAATAACTAAGTATGTATTGCCTATATTTTGCAAAAAAAATTAATTACTTAATTATACATATGCATATCGTCTGTCGGGTCAGGTAGTAATAAAGAGTATTGAAAGATGGAGACGAACCTTGTAACCCTTTGAACTTATTTAGGTAGTTCGCTATCGATATTATCCAACTGTGGCCAGGTCGAACATTCTGAAACAAGTAATAACTCTGGACAATTCACATAGCGCCAAGCTAAACAGAGCATCTATTTTAGATATTAGACAACTGATAGAAATTACTTTTTTTTTTATAAATATATACACGATATTATACATACATAGAAAACACTGACCAATACAATCATATTCATAAATACAAATGTTTGCATCGTGCAAGGACTCAAACCCGCGACTATTAGAATTAAGGCGTGTGCTAAACTAAAATACCAATGAGGCAATTAGAGAACTAAAAAGGTACTCACTACAAAATCATATTCCACGTGTTAAGGAAGGTACATACGATATTATATGAGAAATAAGACGAGTTTATTACTTTGTACTTTTTTATATTCGTATTGTAAAATTATGCATTTAGGTACATATTTACACAAATTATATTTAAAATAGAAATCTAAAAAATCCATCACATAGTTTCTTAGCTAATTATTTCTAATATTAATTTCTAGACTTATTTAATTACAGCTTTGTTCATCTAAAATAAATTAATGTTGTAACAATTCGAATCTACGTGTCATATATATTCAAATTAAGTATAGTATACAATACATACATGTACAACGGTACAGAAAATATATATGTACGTAAAAGAATTTTACACTTCGAACCTAAAGTTTGTTTTAATTGAATGAATTTGACAGTGTGAGCCCACTCGTCCACGTGTGATTTGTAATCGGTAAAGGATAATTTTGTAAATATATATACAATAATAAAAACTAGGTAAATCAATATCAACCCATACAAAAAATGACATTCTTACACAAAAATATTGCAAAATTAACATTCCAGTATAGCAACACTTAAAACTGGCCGTTTTAAATGTTGATTCATGTAAGCTGATTCGTGTAAATAGAAAGGAAAGTATACAAAATTTTTAAAAATCTCTACACCTTTAGAGATTTTTTTTAATTTAGGAATTAGATAGTGTAGTTCCTAATTAGATAGTGGTTAAAACGTTAAATACAAATTGTGACAAAAACTAAACTTTTAATCTCATTGAAACGGGTATTTTTAACTACCGAGTCACATATTTAACTGTATGTCCCAAATTGGAGGATTTCTGTACATAATGAAACTGATGATCATGCTATAAGAGTCTTGTTAAATTAGTACTATTAGTGGTAAGGGGACTTATCCATAAATTACTACATTTAAATATTTACTACATCCTAAACGTCTGGTCACATTTGTAAGGTCTCTAATATTGAAGAAAAGAACAATTAAACTTTATAGTCATCTATTTGTATGACTAATTCAGCCTTTATTATAGTTGGAAGTATAATAAATATATAATTAATTGTTAAAAGCGTTTCAATACTTAAATATAGACTTTGTAACATTATAAAACTCAAGACTCTTCCAACCCATTGTGACAATTCGTCTCGAGACTTCCGTTCCTTTTATTATGTGAAGTAATATATGATGGACACTAAGATAGCGTTTGAAAACTTCAAATGCGAACTATGAAGAGAATGCAATATTGTAAATAGTTTGTTATCGTGCTAGATCTATGAAAATCATTTTAACAATCCCTTCCATAGCATACAATAGAGATAATCTTTATATTACAGTATAAACTGTATTTTTTTATCAAAATTAAAAAAAGCCTCATACATCATGTTTCTATTGGCCACAAGTCTCTTGTTAAAGGGTTATGCATATTACCATCCCGGTCAACAGGCTGAGTACAGTTTTGAGTTTTCGAATAATCGACATAGAATTTGTGCTTTGCTTTACATCCTTAGAATTAAATATATAGTGCGAAATTATTATTTTACTAATAAATGGGAGAAGACTAAAGCTATTATTGATTTCCAATTAAAAATTCTCATTAACAAGTCTGTAACTTGACATTTTTTATACTTCGATAACTTTAGTCAAACTAATGTTAATTTTAGTCATAATGCTTTTTTTTGCTTTTTAGACCTACATAAAACAAAAACCCCGTGCCTAATTGAATTATATATCCCTCACATTTGTTCCCCATAAAACCTTATCGCTACAAAATCCCTCCCAATTTAAAACAGACAGAAAACTTCCAATCTGGGATCACTATTTACAGCATGGTCAAAGGACGTTTTGGAACTAGTTTTTCCTATCTACATATGAAATAAAAGATGCCATATAGAAGATACATTAACCTACAACTGCCACCTTAGCATACCATAAACAATACACAAAAATATGTATTATAACATTTAATAGAAAATAATTTACTAATTAAATAATTTCGCTACCTACTATTATTTGTAATGTAGCATCGCTTGTCCTTCACTTCTATAAAATTAAATGATTGGTACAATCTAATGAGCATGTCGTATGCAGTGAGTGAGACGGCAATACAATTGCGCTCTCGCTCACAACGAGATTATAAATATATTCGAGGAGCGTTGCAGTAGCAGCAGTTAGGGCGCAACTGTATTACGCAAAGGACATGCGATGTTCCACTAATAATTACATTCTGTAAATAAAACTGTAGATAATTATATAATAATTAAATTTTACGGTCTTACCTATTCAGAAAAAATGAAATAAAAGACTAGTAAGTTAAATCTGAAGTTATTAACTGTTTAAATAACTTAATTAACAGTATTTGATATTAAAAATATAATTTAATAATAAAGTTGTATTTGTAATTAGTAATACTGAAAGATGAACGATTTAATTCTACATCATAACATGAAAAAAATGAGACACATAGTTAGGCCTTCCGCGCATGCGTCGGGTCATCGTTGTTTATTCATGTAGGACATTTTAGCCGCTTATGAAAGTAATTTTTTTTTTATATATATAGAATTTGTTCTTTACGAAAATGACCGGCGTCTATATAACGATAAAATTAGATGTTTTTGGAAATATTTTATTTAGACAATTTTAAGTTTACAATACGTAAACACTTCCAGTCAATCTTGTAACGTGACTTAATTGGGAATACACAAGCATCCTGCCAATTAAATTGATTCCATTACCAAAAAGCCTACAGTCATCTAAATAAAATTATAAATATTATTACAATATACCTCACAACTAGTATCCAAATGGAGTAGTCAAATGGCAACGTCATGGTAAACTCAATAATTCACTACATAATTCGACAAACAAAATTTGATATCAGTTAGATGCGAACACACAATCTCCCGGTCAAAGTAGGGTGGTAAAAACTAGGCTACGGCGCTCTCAAAAGTAAATATAAAGTGCTACCAAATTATCTCAATTCTCTTTATTATTTAATATTATGATAATTGTATTGTATAATGATAATTTTCTAAAAAAAATATGTCTGTTCTTCATTGCATGTCGTTATTGAGGTACTAAGTCAGTCACTAATACCCATATAATATTAGCAAATGCATATTATGATAGAAGCGGCAATAGCAGTTTTTAAAGTTTACAGAAACCGTAATATTTGCATACATAAAGGATATTAAGAATTGTATGAACAGATTGATAACATTAAGGACATGAAATTCCATCATTATATTGTATACATCTAATACAAGGAATGCACATAATTTCGTAGCAGCTTATATTCTTCCAAAAAAACATGTACTGATCTTAATATTTATGTTTTTGGGATCAACTTGGTAGTAAACTGTATGTACACAAAATGGACCCTTATGAAAATCATGTACAGTTCATTATTACCATATTTGTTTCGTATATTGGAAGTTTTTTTCTATTTAGTTTTGACTTATGACAGAAAATTTTATATTTCAGATTTCAAGTCATAATTATTATATTACTATATGTCACTCCATACAATTAGAATAAATACGTTACGTAATAAAATAACCAAGAAGTTTTTTAACATCATGTAAATTGCAAATAATTATGTGATCCTAAGTAATCTCTATGTTATGATAAAACTATATGAGCAAGTTCACGAGACTTTCAATATTGTACCAATTTTTTATTTGCTTACTACCTAATTAGTATAAAGATTTATTCCCCAAACTCACATTTACTAAATACTTTGATCATTGGGTTGTTCCTTAAAATTAAATATTATTATATTACAATTTAAGTCGCATTAATACATTTTTTCTTAAATATGGATTTCACTAATCACTCAACTGTATAAACAGAAGGTAAATATTTTTCGGAAGTACTTCATTTCGGCGCAACTTATAACTTAAACGGTTACTTATATTTTAATAATTAGGGTGTCGTTAGTTTACTCGTAACTGTAGGAATACTGTGGATGGCTATATGCTGTGAAAAACTTGGGATATATATTGCTTTTCAATTTATTATGTGACTTGTCACGTCTACTTATCTATTTGAATTATGGTACATTGGTATTGCCACCACTTGAATAATAATATACTCATTATGTGTATACCATATTCGATGCTTTCCCAAATATTTTGGGAAGCGTGTTGGTTACACGAACATAGAATAGGGTCAGATACCCTACAGATTCTGAGCAATGTTGCCCATTATTATGAAGACCAAACAAACCAACCAATGTGAATTCATACTTCGATGTGGTGGTCGGGCATGGGTGTATGTTTCAAATTCTTTGGATTGGTAATGGACGGTTTCTGTGTACGCGTGTGCCATACAAAGACCTTTGTGCAGTTCTCGGCGAGCGGCTCTAGATCGTCCTTCGTTGCTGCGAAGTATTTGAGAATCTCGCTTTCCTGAAAATTTATAATATATTTATTCATTAACTGTTTTATTCAGTTAGATTTTTTAAAAACTCATCTACGTATCCTCAGTCTCCCCTATTTCAGTCACCAAGTGGCTTGCTCGAAATAATATTAAAAATAACAAAACTATCATGTCATTCGAAACACAGATTACAAGCCATTGGAGATTTTTTATTTCTTTGATTTTAGTGACTTTTTAGCAAATTCAAAATTTTATATTTCAGTCCCATTTGTACCCTAAAAATTGCCTATACAGCACTTACGGTCAAGACAATTTAATCAGCAGACATGACTTGAACAGCTCAGTCCCAATAGATAATCGCGCAGTTGTAGAACGTATAGAATTTAAGATTCAACTGAATTACAAGCGAAGTGCCAACCGTCGTCGTGACCGACTTTTTGCAACTGCGGCGGTACGCACTAGCCACACTAATAATTGTCCCACTATGCGAGCATTGCAAATATTAAATTTATTTTTAATTAATTTAGGTAAGGTAACCAAGATGCTGACGTATACAGCTTTACCTTCCATAATAAATAAAATAAGAATGTTTTTGTCATTGTATAGTATATATATGTATATATATATATGTCATATTAAATAAATAAAGAGAAAATAAATAGTAATTCTTTAACGGATTTCATCACTACACTTGTGCCCGCAACTTCATATACAGAATAACAGTATGTTTTTTGTTTCTGACCATATTGGAATGTAACAAGCATTAAATGTGTAAGCTTGCTACATGCGTATACAAATCGGTTAAGCCTGTTTCAAAAACAGACAATTTAAAATACTAATAATATTTCTCACGTCCTTAACATGAGTAGAATGTAATGTAGACATCGTACATTTAAATGTATGATGAACTGGCTGTGCCCGCGGTTACGCCCGCTTGTTTTTAGGTAATTGTTTGTATAGAACTGGGTGTTTTTTATATATAATATATATATAAAAAACACCCAGTATACTTACACAAAATATATATATACATGTTATCTAGTACCAGTACCAGTACCAATACCAGTTATCTAGTATCTATAACACAAGCTATGTCTAGCTTGGAACTAGATGGCGTAGTGTAAATTATCCTGATATTTCATTATTATTATATTCTGATATATATCAGAATATAATAATAATGAAATATCAGAAACTACAGTACAGTACTGTAGTTTCATCAAAATATGTTTTGTAGTTTTAGAGAAGGAGTAGCAAACGTCCATCCATTCTCACAAACTATCGCGTTTATAATATTATAGTCAGTAAGATATAAAAGAAATCTTTTGCCTACATAATAATCATTTGTATAATTATTTAATGAGATAAATGTTGAAGTATATTGTACGTGTTACTTTATTTATACAACGCCAGGATGCGATAAGTGTGCACCCGTCACAAGCAATAAATATAAGAGAAAGCAAGATAACGCTATCAATATACCCTCACATCTAAACTAGACTGAGTGCGGCATTATTAAATTACTCGTAATTTCTGCCTAAACTTAAGTTTATGCTTGTGGTTAGTTAATAGGATAATCACCTTTTATTCTACTTCCAAAAAATGATTATGTGTATTTTAATCTAGTCCAGGGCGAGACATTTTTAGTAATGTGGACAAATAACCCTATCGCTATCAGTGTACCTCCTGGAAATCATCGTAATGAATTCCTATTACATTTGCCACATAAAAAATGTTAATAGGTCGGCCTTTTGTTCTACTTCCAAAAGGTGATTATGATACTGATGAATTTGCTAATCTTATCATCCACCACTGATACTCCGCCACCGTAAACTGATATCGCAGGCGGGTACACTATAACATTATCATCCATAAAAAAGTTAATAAGTTAATCACCCTTATGTTGTACATCCAAGACATGATTATGTGTATTTTAATCTAGTCAGAGTTATTTATAGTATTGTGGAGAATTAACCCTATCAATATAATAACACTATCAATGTACCTTCTGGAAATCATCGTAATAAATTATATATTATCATCCTCCACTGGTGCCACGCCAGCGTAAACCGTTAGCGTAAGTGGTTGTACCATTCCATTATCAACCATTATAAAAAAAATCTACTTAGAACTCAATCTAAATCAATGTTATAGTTCTGAACCAGAAAAAACTAACTGTAATGTTGTTACTGTTGTATTGCGTGTATAAATGTTATATAAATAAAAAGCACAAGATTGATTTCTCATTTGCTGAATTAATGAGGTCGCGAGTTCGATCTTTACACATTACAAACAAATCTACATTTGAGTGTTTGATACTAACCTGAGCGTTTTCTATGTATATTATGTATGTATAAAATAATTTAAGTATTAAGTATTTCTGTGACCCTAATACAAATTGTTAATTTGTTTGGGATTATGTTATCTATAGATATATATAATATAAACCCCCTATTTTATCACCGCAATAGAACCTAAAACAGTAATATTTAGAATTCATGTCTCGCGAATTCATAGTGCACAAACGCTGCAAATTTGTGCGCTTCAATCTCAGAAACGGCTGTACCGATTTAGGTACCGTGTTCACTAATATATTGTTGTAACTTTCACGAAAAATTTACTGTTCGTATTACCCTACTTCAAAATATGGTAATTAATTACAGACCTGAAATCCAGACTGCACTTTTCTAGAAAACATCGCTTTCGGCTGCTCCAAAAACAATGTGGCGTTGATGGCGAAACCGGCCATGTCAATTGGGAATGGTCGAAAAGGCTTCCAAACGGCATTGAATTTGATCACCTTCCCATCCTTGACTACAGGCATCTCGACCCTCATACCTCCCACTATGCCAACTGGCCACACGCCTACTTTGTCGATTTTTCTCATCTGTAAAGCGAAAAATCAGTATTATAGAACAAAACAAATTTTATTATCTTTAGGTTACTTTCTCTACCCAAAGGTAGTCTGGAGGAGATTATTTTATTACAAAAGCTTTGCATTTAATTGCATAATTAATTGCATAATTGCTTTGCATAATTTTACAGTAATTAGTTGGTAGGTATCATTCAAAGGAGATCAAATATGGACCCTGTTGGGCACAGCCAGAGGAAGAAAATAGAGGAGGACGAGTTCATTTTTGTATAATTATAAAATTGTATATAAAGTACTTATATACCTAGACATACTAGATATAAGATTACTTAGCTATAAGATCGTCTTTTGTATCAGTTTACGTAAACTTACAATTTTAATTATTACAAAATATATTAAATTACAGTATAAACAAATAAATCAACAATGTACTGATGTGAATGAAGAGAAAAATTTATAGCCTATGTGTTATTGTGATGTGTATACTCGAAAGTTCCATAAAAATCTGTTCTATAGTTTTTGCGTGAAAGAGTAAGAAACTTCCATCCATCCATCTATCTATGCACCCATACTCACAAACTTTCATGTTTATAATATTAGTAGGATACAAATATTAAGACTTTTAAACGCTAGTTCGCAACAAACATCAAAACTTTCATTGTGAACACCTAATTACGCATAAGTTAAACAAATTCTTCTGTCATACAAACAATAATATTTTACAATAAACGAAACAATGTTATGAACGACCGATGATAAATAGAATGTAATGTTTGCTATCGCTTTCGGGGTTATTGGGTCACCGATCATTTCACATTCCCAATATAATCATACGTTATGACCAACTGTAGTTATTTAGCAATTACAATCACAGGAAAGGTGTCAAGGCTTTAATGGATTGCTTTTAATCATCTCTAAAACGTGAGGTCATAGAACTGACCATGTACAACGCTTAGCAATTAATTCGTGCAAACATGCAAGAACAGGTAAAAAAAATCACTAGCACAGCATTCCTTTCGCACAATTCTTATCCTATTGCCTTTAACACACGTTTGCAACTTCACCGAACGAAAAAGATCGTACAGGCGAGTGCAGAACACAATCTAAATCCGCGTGGAAGGACGTATGGAACGGCTGAACGATGATTACCTACATACCTAACAGACTTCAGTTTGAGGATACCGATAGATCGAATCTCGACTCAGACCGTCGTAGTTTCTATCCGTTTGTATGGGACAGGGGATCGATGCCAAAAAATAATACTATAAATTCTGAGATATTCACAGAATTTGTAATACAAACACAAAGCATATAATAATGAATGAATCATTGTTAAATATAAATGTTTATTATTCTTATTATATATTTAACTATCATCATCAACTATATTATATATACATATAACTATCATATTCAACTATGAATACTATCTACTTATAGTGAATGATAAGAACCTAGAAGGAGATAAAAATTGATCAAACTAATCCTTATTTCCACCGATATAAACTTTATTTATTCATTTTTGTCTACAACATATTATATAATAGTTAAGTAATTGGAATGGCAAGCAATTTGACGGTGGGCCAGATGGAAAATATAAATATTTGCATACACCAAAAGAAGAACACAAGGAACATTGTCGTGATTTTACTAATATTAGAAAGGTGGAAGTTTGTGAGTGCGGATGGACGGATGTTTGTTACTATTTCACGTACCAACTACTGAATAGATTTTAATAAAACTGTACAATAATATAGCTTATACATCAGCGTAACACATAGGCTATAAATTTCACGCGGATGTAATTGCTGGCCCAGCTAGTATTAAAGTGTTGGTCCATTTGTTATTTTTATGGTTTTGCTCCTACTAAATCTACATTTAAGAAGTTGTAAGCAACTCTACGGATAATAATATTTATTAAATATATTATTATTATTGGTCTATGGTACCTCTCATGATTGCTATTCCCTAGAACTAAATGATATCCCGATCCAAATTGCGGATCCCGTAATATCATTGACATATCTCATGCATAGATACTTTACAAAGTCCCGTTAAAGTCTTAATGAAATGGATATTCAGGACTAGGACAATAGAACACATAAATCATATCATATTTTTATATAAATACTATATTACACCTGCATGTACCTAATAGTATAGAGTGTCGTAGTTGTAATGTAATATTGTAGGTATAAAAAAATCTTGATAATACGAGTAATATATAATTATAGTCCACTAACTGTATATAATCAGTTTAATACTGCTACTGATCGCTATCTGTACAAGGCAAATGAATTAAAAAAAACATTATTAGGCCGCATATTATTAACCTAAAGAGCATACAAAATAAAATTTATAACAATTTTACTTTGCTTATGCCAATGTCTAATTTTAAACAGAAACGGCTAAACATTATCTAATTTTTTTATATGTTTTATACCAATTGATTTACAAATAAAAATATTTCTCATACATCTATTATATTTTAGTATAATATTAACGAAGCGTCATAATTCATAAAAGACAAATTAAAACTTGTATGTCTTTGTTTTTATTCATTATATCTCACTGGTCTGCATCTTAAGAATTTGGTTAGTCAATTATTTATCAACGCAATCTATAATTTAAACGGAACAAGTCATAATAACATAATAAATCGTGTTTATTAAACAGTCAACTGTTAACATGTAACAGATGTAAATAAACTAGTAACACCGCTAACAATCATACGATATAACAGATGTAACTAGGGTTTACTGTTTTAAACAGTATTATACTGTTTTTCACTAAGTTATACTTTTTACTTTGAACAAAAATAAAGTATTCAAAATACTGTTTTCAGCATTTACCTACTGAAAGAGTTTTTTCAGTAATTAATGCGTAGTAAGTTTCAGTAAATAAGTGGCGGGATGATAGAAATAGTATCTATTAATCTATGCATTTAATAAAAAAAAAGAGCTCCTTATTTAGTGTAAGCGTAGTAAGTTTTTAAAAAATACTGTATATTAGTAAGTTGTGCGAACTCTAAAAATATATATTTAAAACAATAAATAAATGAAATATTGTTCATTTTTATAAAATACTGAACTTATTATATTTCTTGTAAAAAAAAAGTTGTCAATCCTAGATGTAACGCGTCTGATAATTGAATGGTGTCGCGCCTGATCTAACTTATTCTCTTATTCTTATTTCTCACTGGCGGGGCACCAGTGAAGAATAATATTTTAATGAGAATGAACTCAGGTCATTTAGCCCATCCTGTTATTCATCAGGTTCAGATCCTCACGCTAACCGCGTCCTTGGAAACCGCTTCGGTTAATTCCGACTGAATTCGCCATGATGGGCTTGCTGACCTGACTTTATCATCATTGACTGGTGACCCGCCAGCGTATACCGTTAGCCCAAGCGAGTCAACCATACCATTATCATCAATTATATAATACAATAAAAAATCTATAAAATAAAATAAATTTTACCTTACCGTATAATCTGAAAATTGAAAATTAATGTGTAATAAAGAAATTGTACAATTATACTTTTAGACAATTTTACAGTACGTTTAGTATTCATTGAAACCATACATACCAATTTCATCGAAACTTTCTACATAATACATAGAATGAAATGTTTTATGTTCTAATTTATTATTATTGTATATTATTGCTGTGTGTCAGACACCGTGATTGATTTTCTTAAACAGACGGGATTTATATATATATTTAACTCACCAAAAGTACGCAATAAAAAAATAGTATTATGGTTTCCTTAGAAGAAGCGAAATAGTATATTAGTCAATAATTACCTCTTCAAAGACTCTTAAGGAATATGTGTTATCATCGTCCATGAAGTAAACGACACCTTTCGTGTCTTCAGATTTTTTTAAATGGCCTCTAAGCCAATCAAGCGCCAAATTTCGCTGTTCAACTCCGCTAGCCTGCAAACAAAATATGTGATTGTGAATATTTGAAAGTTTTCCGTGTTCCTTTATAAATGAAAATATAAGTTTGCTACATATTATCACCATCCTACTATAATATATATTATTCCAAACATATACTTAGTAATAAAACAAACATAATAAATTTCGTTTAAACAAATTCACTGATATCTAAATTTAACCCAATTAAATTTATATTTATATATTATTATTATACCAAGCTAATTAAATTTGATAATTAATTTTAACAAATGACTGCACTTTAATTTCATTTAGATATAAATATTATCCAGGAAATTAATGTAATTTTAATAAAAGTTACTACTCACTATTTTAATCTAAGTAATATAATATAATAAAATAACATACAAAAATATAACAGTTTTTGTTATTTTTTTTAAACTTTATTAAGTGTAATTGGTTATCATTTTCAATGTTATTATAATTATTATACATTTTATCCAATATTCTACATTAATATAGGTATAAGCAGGTTAAATTAAAATAGTACATATATACGATTTCGTGCACCGTAGTCGTAAAATAGTTATCTCTACATATATACGAATATGTACCTAATAATTATGGACTAAACTAAACAGAGAAATAAAATAATACATTTATTTTGTTACACAACAAGTAGCACTTATTAAATACTATTGTAAGTTAGTAGTCGCAATATTGTATCGTTCTTTAATATTGGAAATTGACATATTGTCAATTTTCAATATTTTTAATACCTCTTCCAATAGTAGGTAATAGCTGCAGTTGCCGAATTAATAATAATCTTTCAATTAACTTTGCGTCTGTATGCTTAGATCATTTAAACTATGCAACGGATTCTAATGCAGTTTTCAGCAACAGATTGAGTGATTCAAAAGGATAGTATGTATAATATACGTACACATGTAATACAAGAAAACATTCGGCGCGGGTAGCTGATTATAGATAAGATATAACATTAAAGCGCCAACTCAATAGTGTGCGAAAATGGGCAACAAAAAATAATAGTTTTCGTAAGTGCATTTTGCAAAATCTTCTGAAATTTAGATATTTTATCGCTAAATTTATAGTAAAAATATTTAAATTTAAAAATGTATCATAGTATTCTAGTAAGAACGGCTTTTCCTTGACAACTGAGAACAATACAAACTGCAAATTAATAAAGCAGTAATATATTTAGTAAATAAAATTTACTACGTATTCATGGTATTTTATTAATAAAACTAATTATTTTATTATCTATTAGTGACAATTCTTAAATTATAACATTATTGGAAAGTTAGATTAAGGTTTAATAATTTACTGAATTTGAAGCGTTTGCCACTCTAATACAATTTATTGATCTACATACACAATACCAACTAGTGTTGAATGTATCCGTCTTAAATAGACAAATATTGATATCCAGAACCTGAAATATTATATTCAATATATTGACCTACATACGACTACGTATAAATAATTAGTTTACTTCAAGTGGAAAGCATAGATAACTTTGTTTGTAGTAATAGATATATATATTATATTCGTATGTTGTTCTATTATTATAAATGAACATTATTATGGAATGTAAAATAGTTGCCAGCCTAAATCTTTGATAACCAAAACTAATTAAATAGAAATATTTAAATAATATAATATAGATAATAGATATCTAATAAATACCAAGAATTGTAAAGCCTTTTATCTAATAAGTACAACTATTTATCAGTAAAAATTAATAAATAATCTGTTTGTTCCAGCTAATCTCTTTAATGGCTGGACCGATTTTAACAGGATTCTTTTGGCAGGTAGCTGATGTAATAAGGAGTAACTTAGGCTACTTTTATTTTAGAGAAATAAAGTTAAAAACCATGTGGACGAAGTCGCGGGAACAGCTTGTACATATATAAAATACTAACTTCTACCCGCGGCTTCGCTCACATTGAATAAAAATATTTGTTTTTAAAATAAAAAGTATCCTATATTCATTCTAATACCTCCAAGAACATGTGTACAAAATTTCATGATGATCAGTTTAGTTGTTTTTGGGTGAATATGTAACAAACATCTCTACTTCCACATTTATAATATTATTAAGGATTAAGGTAGTACCAGCGTGACAGTTGATATCCAGAATATTAGCAGCCATCACTGCGCTCAACCACATTTTTTTCGGGACCACTGCCACATACCACAATTTTGTTGCCATTCTGTCATAATTAAGTCTAGAAATAAATAATAAAGAAAAATTAATACTTACTGAGGAGTGTTCAGAAGTTTTCGTTTTCACATTAAGATGTGTATATTTCAGTGTGGACTCTTTAAGAAGATTTTCAACTAATTTTGTTTTTGTTGTTGAATCCTCAATAACAATCCAATGGAAATTCTTCACAAGCATCAAAGTTTGTGATAGCCTGTTAATAGAAACATAAATATAAATAATCTTTAAACACTTATAATTATGTGAGATATATTATATACACTACATAATTCTAATAATTTTTTTATTCGACCCTAATTCGGAAAACTAATCCAGTTGTTCTTTTAAACAAATGTTAATTAAGTTTACAATTTAAATATGTTACATTAAGCTTTGAAATAGCATCAATTTATAAGAGATATTAAGCAAGAAGAGCCAGAAATTTTAGAGAACCCTTTGATCTCCATACAATACCACCAAAAAATATTGTCATTGATTCATAATGATTTTGTCATAATGCTATAACTAAATTATATTTATTCTTAATTAACATTTTTGACACCGTGAGTTCCAAAATTAATTTGAGGGATAGACTCGCCACATAAGCAGTGAATAAACTTGGTAACTTGCGATTCCTCATAGTTTTTTTTTCTATGAATTTTTGAAAATTTTTAGGTTAGGACGCTTTTTGCATTAGTGACCATTGCTACAGTTTTTTTTGTGTGATCATTAAACTCTAACCTAACCTAACCTACGGATTGTTTTCTGTGCGAGGGGATGAGGGGGTGGGGATACCCTTACCACTGTGGTGGAATCCCCTTTGGGGGGTTGCGTACCTCAATGTTCATCATTCTGAGGGTATTAGTGACCATCGCTCTAGTTTATTTTTGTGTGATCATTAAACTCTAACCTACCTACAGTTTGTTTTCTGTGTGAGGGGTGTTCCCCGCGAGCACCCCCCTTTTGCCCCTCTCCTCTGTTAACTGAGTTGAAATTCAACCTGTCACTTAAAACAAAATGACGTCGCGTCGTTAGTGTTGCTATCATTATTATTGCGTTTTAATTTCCTTTTTTAAGAAAAAAGTTCTTTACCAAAAATTAATATCATAACGAAATTATGATAAAAAATATTTCAAAGTATTTTTATATACATTACAATGTGTATTACAATAAAAACTAAATGAAAATAGGTAAAAATTATACAAAAACTATTTAAAAAAAGTTTAACACAAATTATGAAACACCGAGCGGATGTCAAAAGTGTTTACCAACTAGTTTCACATATTCTAATTAATATTTCAATAACTATGACTTTCCACAAGTTGAAATTTTAGGAGTAGACTAACAATAACAAGATCTATTAAACATAAAATTTTCAACTCTCAAATCGATTGTAGATATTGTACAGTTGAGCCATATTTTGTTTCAAAAAATGTCTCAACCCCAGTAAATGGTAATAAATACAAAATATCTATTCACCGTGATCACAGCACTTGAAAAGCTATTTTAACCACTGAAACTTAATCCTGTTGATTTCCCTAATAAATAATTAGAATAATAAAGGACCCAGGGAATTTAAATTTAGAACTGTTCAGGATGGGGTTTGAAAACACAATTAAGTACGAAGTACGAAACAAGCAAAAAGTACAGTGGGTTGCCAAATTAATAGGGACAGTCACGAAATATTCGTTTTTTGTAAAACATTGGTCTATAATTAATTAAAAACGTCACTTTAGGCTATAATTATATTTAATAATATCAGACACATATCTTATAATGAATTTAGACTATAATAATTTAATATTTGAACAACTAGAAAATATAAACAAGTATAATAAAAATGATGATGGGAAATTATTAGTATTTTGTCACATTTCCTTTTGCTTCTATCAGTGCTTGAATCCGCCTCGGCATACTTTCAATACACTGTTTAGCACTTTCTTTTATTTTGGGATTGTGAAACCATACATTTATTAATTTTTCAATTAGTTTTACTTTGGTAGTTATGATTTCCTTAGCAATTTCCGCCTTGGTAATTTCCCACAAGTTTTCTATGGGATTCATATCAGGAGAATTGCCAGGCCAATGTAAAACTGGAATGTTGTGGTCTTCCAAAAATTTGGTTACACTCCTCGTTTTATGACATGGAGCTGAATCGTGCAAAAACACGAATTCCTCCCCATTCGGGAACCATTCCTGAAGTTGCGGCAACAGGCGAGTTTCTAATACTTGCTTGTATTGGTCCTGTCTCATGGTTCCCTGGACGATATAGAGGCGCCCAACTCCTTTTGCGCTGATGACAGACCATACCATTATTTTTACAGGGTGTTTAATTCGTTCCACTATGCAATCAGGATGAAATTTCTCGCCTGGGCGCCGCCTCACGAAGTTACTTTTGTTGGCCAGAATTTCAAAAGTTGACTCGTCTGAGAAACATACCTAAAAAAATATAGAAACTATTTATAATTTTTGTAAATATGATTTTATATAACACAAATAAAATTAACCATAGAACTGACCTTATTCCAGTCTTCAACAGTTTTCAGGCGGTGCTCACGAGCCCAAGCAAGCCTTTTCTTTTTCATCGCCTCTGTTAATCGGGGTTTCTTAACTGGACGATGACCTGTCAGGCCTTCCTCTGCCAACCTTCGCTGTACAGTTCTTTTTGAAACACGTATTCCAGATTCCTGTACTATCTGAGTTAAAAATCCAGCACTTTTCTTTCTGTTTTGCAAGCAGATATCTCGAATTTTCCTATCGGAACGTGTTGTTGTGATACATTTTCTGCCACATTTGCCTTTTCTTTTGGGCGAAAGTGGCTGATTTTGATCTAAATTTATTTTTATTTTATTGACGGCAGATTTCGATATCCCGGCCAGTTGTGCTATCATCCTCTGAGAGTGATTTGTGTGTAGGAGAAGGGTTTTAACCTCGGATTTTTTTCTCGGAGTCAAATCTACCCCTCGACCCATAGCCAAAGCTGAAAATATAAAAATAAATTAAAATTGTTCTAAAATCCGCTCCAAAATACTTTAATTTTAATTATAGTAAAATATTACTTACTTGCAGGTATTGATTATTTCACAAAACCACTAAAGAACTGTTTAAAAGAATAATTTACGTGTTTCACTTTTACACGTGTGAACGACTGTGTGTCTCTCCCGTCATTAAAATATATTTCCAAAATAAACAAATCTCTCAGCACTTGAAATTCACTTTGAATTTGAGTTATAGAGACAAGGTGAACATAAAAATATATCAGCAAAAAACTTTTACCACTTAAAAACGTAGTCAAGACCACTTGAAGAACAAAAATTATAAAAAATGTGACTGTCCCTATTAATTTGGCAACCCACAGTGGGTTAATATAATAAACAAGTTATTTGAGGGAACCAAGGGAACAGATTATAACTAAATCCTGTATAACACTTATTTATTTCTGAAATTAGTAAGTTGTTGATAAGTCTAGTATACACCAAATAGCACCATACCAAGTTTATGAGGTCATTTATTCAGTTAGTTATTAATTATTGGGTGTCAGCAAGGGCAAAAATATCACGACAAAACTTACCTAGTGAGATCAGCTTTTTGGGCCAGCCTTGCATACGTCGGTGTAATGCCATATATTGTTGGAAGGTATGTGGCAACTTCAGTAGACAACTGACATTGAAGTGCTGGTTTATTGTTGAAGAAAAATAGTACGACGAAAAACAACATCCCTAATGCTATGTATTGCTTTTTAATGTTAACAAAAGGCATTTTATTGTCACAAAACACTTGAACAGCTATTAATATTGCGTCCCGGCCAACGTGTCTTGTTTCAATTTACGCAACAAATTAAAAACATTCTTATTGTTTTTTGTGATTTAGTTTAAATACGCATTTATAACAAAATGAAAAGTATTTCATGGAATTTAATTTAGTAGACGTGTATATAAAACTGTGGTAAGTACCAATGTGTGCGCTATAATAATAAGTAAAATTTTACAAATGACAAAATGACATTGACATTATTATGACGTAAAAAGTGACATTGACGTCCGTCTATTTGATAATTATGACATTGACAGATTTACTTCGAAACGGCATATTTCCAATTTAATAATGTAAAATGAATTTGAAGCGTATGTATTAGCAATAAAGTTCAGTGTCATCCTATCAGTATTTTAGACATCAAAGTTTATTTTGAGAGATCGTGATAAAGTATTCTATCCCTTTCACGCAGTCATGTTAAATTAAATTATTTTAGCGGCTATGTTGGGGCCACTGTTATTTATGTAGATTGTGTTCTTTGTGGAAGCAGCAGGAAAGGAGGAGGTGAAGTGATGAGTCCAGATCATGGTTATGTACATATTTATAATATAGAAGTATTTACGATTGGTATGTACAAGAAAGTGATTTAGTCTCGAATGACAGGCTCGTTATTTTATTGTTCTGTCGTAACTAGGCAACGGTGTTGCCACGCGATAATAGTGAATTCGCCATAGTATAATAAAAAATATATTATCGCCGTCTAACGACACAACAGAAAAATATGAAAAATGCAACTGTTATGAAAGACAACTGCTATTTACCCTTTGCCTTCCCTTTAGCATATAACGAAACAAAGGCAAATTCATCAAAAAAGCAAAGTCAAGTCATTTTAAAACTGATCTTTGAATTTAAGTAGGTACTTCCTTATTAATATTAATTTTACTCCCTTGCTCAGTGTATCTGTCTAGATTTGTATAATATAAACTGTTTTTCAGTTTAAAGTTTGAAGTATCAGATGTGACAGTTAAATTACAATTATCTTAGTTCTCAGTAATTGCCACGCATGAGCTTTACCATAGGCGTTAAAGTGACGACGTGATGTCTATGGAGTAGTTAATATTTTCGTAATGCATAAGAAGATGATGTTACTAATGAGTAGGAATGTGATGTTCCCATTACTAGCGCCCCTTGCTAATTCGTCACAATGGCCTAACGGGCCTGACATCATCCTCATTTTGTAATCCACAACTGTTGCCTCGTCAGTGTGAACCGTCATCTCTGGCGGGTGCACCATTCCATTATCATCTTTAATGGATGATATGAAATAATGCAACTATTGTCAATTTTCAACAGTTGGATTGTAAGGTTACTCGTAAGGTAAGCAATGAATACACGTTCATTGCTACGTACAGAGTCTACTGTAAGTTCTGGATGTATCGGCGATATATGTTCTAGTATATAATTATATCCTGGCAGTCCTCCGATACGATATTATAGGAGTAATAGCAATCTTATCTGTGGTAGTAGTAATCTTGGTAGTATTAATTTAATCCTACCAAGATTTATATCTATTGATTGACAAAGACTGCTGATAAATCAAATCAAATCAAATCATAGATATTAATGTGGGACATTTTAGTCACTTATGGACGTCATTTTGTATTAATATTTTTCTCAACCGTCCTGTTCAGTATACACATTCAATTGAAAAAAAATACTGGTAAAAACTGGCATAAGAACTGAATAATTTAAATTTTTACTCCTTCGAGTCACGGAGTATTATATAATATATTTATAATATCAAAATAATTGAGGTCAAGAATATCCCGAGTTCTTGATATCGCACTACCTGGATATGCACTTATCAGGCCTATAAAATTGTTCTCATATTCAAGCTTACGATGGACAAAGGAAAGTTTCGGAAAATGACCTCCGACCTTCATTAACGAAGAGTCAAAACAAGACCGTCCCTTCTGACCGGAGGTTTCAATAGTACGGTTAAGTGTAACAAATCGAAGAGCAATTTATTTTGTTTAGAAACTCAAGCAACACAAAACAATACTAATTACGGCTAGTTTGATTATCTGTACGCAACAGACCCACAAGATATATTATACTTACTCACTAATAACCTCAAAGGATCATGTTAAGTAGACCAGTTTGTCTATTACTTGTGAATATAAAAAATAAATACCTACCTACCATACATATATGTTTTTGTATTCGATTTTTTTATTAATATGTATTACGGCTCTGGATACAAGTCCTTGATGATGGAATGTTGCACTCGCATGTGCTGACGCTACCGGAGTACTAGTGAAGGATGATACGTTGAGGATGAAGTCTGGTTAGCTGTGATGAATTTTCTACTAAATATAAAATCATTGCATATCACTGCGTAGCTTTGAATTAGTGTTTTCATATATTAAACATTAATATATACCTACTAGCTGACCCCGCAACCGTTGTTTTGCCATATAAATTAAAATCGCTATTAAAAAGTAGGGGTTGTCTATAACGAGAATGGTGAAAATTTAGGGTTGTACGTATTTTTGTACGTATTTATTACATAATAAAAAGATACCAAAAAATAAAAAATAAAATGTTAAGGGGGACAACCCTTATCACTTAGGGCTATGAATATATATAGTAACCGATTCTCAGACCCACTGAATATGCATATAAAATTTAATAAAAATCGGTTAGGCCATTTTGGAGGATTATGTTCAAAATGTCGCATGTAATGAAATTTATTTCACCTAGTCATTGTTTTATCAATGGTAAAGCACGAAGTGATACAGTATAAAAATGGCACTATATTACAGCAGAGGGACATAGTATAATGATATTTATGTTTTGTACGTGGTATAGTATATAAGTGACAGTTTACCGTCAATTTGTGTTAGATTTACCTTTACTACTATGCAGACTCCATTTAAGTAATAATCAATACAGATTTATATCAGTACCTAGTTAAATTAACGTCTGAAGTGGAAACTAAATTATTTATAAAACTAAAACTGCCTATTGCTGTCTAAGATAGACACGTAGAACATATTTAATCAGTTCTGTGGTATTAACACATAATATACCTACCTACAACTTAGCAAAATATTTGTTTTGACGTCTTAAAGCGTTATTTATTTGAAAATCGATAAAATCATTCAAATCAGGAATTTCATCCTAAGTGATCTTCACCTACAATTTCCCAAGATCTGTTCAGCCGTATAGTTGTGAATTGTTAACAAACGGGCAGACAGACCGACATACTTTTGTAATAAGTTAGGTTTTTTGATTGATGATATGGTGCACCCGCCTGTGCTAACGGTTTACATTGGAGGGGCACCAGTGGAGGATGATAGAATGAACATGAAGTCAGGTCAGTTAGCTTCCAGATGGTTTCCAGGTAGAACCGCGTGGAGGTCAACCTGATAGAATACATTGCTAGCAATGGGATCATGAGTCCATATTACTAGCAATCCCCTTCGACCCAAATAGGTAGGGTTTTTTTTAGTGGATGATAATGGAATGGTGCACCGCCAGGGTAAACCGTTAGCGCAGGGGGCTAACAGTTTCTGGCGGGGCACCAGTGGATGATAAGATGAACATGAAGTCAGGTCAGTTAGCCCAACGTGACAAATTCACTAGGAATTTATCACGATGGTTTCCAAGGGGAACCGCGTGGAGGTCAACCTGACATGGCACATTGCTAGCAATGGGATCATGAGTTCACATTATTAGCAATCCCCTTCGGCCCGAATAGGTAGGGTTAGTAATAGAAAATATGACGTGCATATATATAATAGGTCATATGTTAATAAATAATTTTCAATTAGAAAAATTAGTGCGGACAATTTTTGTTAAAAATTCACTCGTAATTAGAGTACTAAAATTATTTAAAAATCATATAAAATATTATTGTAATTTCATACAAGATCTACTTTTGTACCTACTCTCTATTATCGTAGAGAAACATTGGATATTTTATTTTGTTTTATAGTTGGCTCTCAGATCTTTTAGAGAACATTACCGCGAGCTACAAATGGTTGGTACCTACAATTTTAAAATCTCACAGATTAGTGGGTTTATCGACCTTTTCTCTATATAGTCGAGATCCTTTATAAGTAATTAGTTTAATATTTAATTTATTCATAACATTGTTCCCATGCAATTTCATTTAATTATGAAAATGGTCGGAGTAAAAACGTTTGTAAAGATTGACACCGTCGGAGATCAGTTTTCTCTGCTTAAAGGGAAAACTTAGATAGATAAACAGATTTCCATTTTAATTACTTTAGATGGGTACCTACTTTAATTTAATATCTGCTTGTTGGGGTCTTGTGTTTTTTAATATCTCAGGACAATTCACACAGTGCCATCTAGTCCCAAGGTAAGCAGAGCTTGTGTATGGGTATTAGAAAACATATAAATACATAAATATTTATTTTGTACATATTATACATAGAAAACACCCAGATCGATACAAACAATCATAAGCATGAATACAAATGTTTGTGCCGTGCGAGGAAATCAAACCGCGACCATCGGACGTAAAGCGGTGTGCTAAACCGCTAGACCACCGAGGTCGTCTTTGACTGGACTGTTAGTGTGTATATATTTTTTTACATGTAACAAACTCAACATTTTAAGTGTTAAGTTAGTATACCTCAGTACATTATTGAAAACCGTAACTAATTGAGTTAAGCTGTTTCTGTAAAAAGTGCGCACAAATGCGAAGACAAACATACAAAATTCTTAACAATCATTATTTTGGATTCTCTACGTCAATAAAGTCCTCTAGTATAATAATACTTTTAATACTACTTATATCTAAAACTGTTAACATAGATCCATCTTCCAACAACATTAAATGAGTCAGACACCAATTAAGTGAGCCGTTCTTTGTAGTGTAAAACTTAAATTTGAGGAATATTTCTATCCCAGGCTTTTATAACTCTTTCTTTATCTAACACATTATAATCTCGATTTAAGTAAAAACTATTCTGTTGCTACGTTTGAAAGTCTATTAGTGGCTTAGTTTATGTATATATTTTTTCTACATATGTTTGGTTGTACCTGGTTTTCCTGTCTTAAATAAATAAACAATAGTTTTTCTCATAATTATATTTTTAATGTACG